TCCGTGGAGACAAAACTAGAGGCTGAGCTCAGTGGTTCTGCTGCCTGCCCTGCAAGCTCCAAGGACCCAAGTTCGATCCTCGGTACCAAAAAAAAAAAAGAGGCTGAAAAGACCCAAACCCAGGTCAAGAACATATCCTGGGACCATGAAGACTGAACCCACCTCAACCTCAAGAGAGGGAGGGAGCCATGCCATGGAGCAGGCAACCTTCCAGCCTAAGGTGTCTTAGAAGGGAAGCAGAGATGCATGGGCCAGGGGTCAGCAGCAGAAGTCATTTGTACCCACGCTGAACAAGAGCTACGTCAGGGGACAGGGAGTTCACACTGGGGAGGACTGGTAAATGTGCTCAGGAGGACTCAGCATACTACTCTTCTGTCCCCCAACTCAAGGCCTCAAAGGAAGATTATTTGGGGTTAGAGGAAGGCGAGACCACCCGTGTCAGATTTGGCATAAGTGGAATGTGCACCCTGGGGCCTTGTACCAAACCCGCATCCTTCACAAGTGACCTCGGGCCTTAACCACATAAATTAAATTTAGGTTACAGCTCAAGAAGTGGTGCAAAGCACCCTCCCGCCACAGGGGGCAACAAAAATCAAGTGAAAGCGGGAATTGGAAAAAAAGGTCCAGTTAGGTTTTGGAGGCAGCACCAAGACCGGGCTTCAGACTATAATCCCAGCACTTAGGAGACTGAGGCAGAATTGTCTCGAGCTCAAGGCCAGCCTGGGTTACAAAGTGAGTTCATGACATAGCGACACCCAGCCTCAAAAACACAAACAAAAAAGCTAGGCATGGTGGCGCAAGCGTGCGACTGTAGCAACTGAGTGACTGAGTCAGAAGGATCGCCACAATTAGAGCATAGCCTGAGCTACACAGTGAGTTCAGAACGAAGAGCAAGCGCGACCCTGTCTCAAAAAGAGAAAAAAAAGAAAGGGTCTTCAGGGACCCCCAGTGCCTTCTCCAGACAAGAAACAGGGAGGCCGTTCCACGGAGGATCACAGGTAGGTAAGAGGATGCACACAGCCGGTCTCCCGCGTGACCCAAGGGTGCATCTAGCGGGCACCTGAAGAGCACTTCCTGAAGGCAACTTCGAAAATTCACGAAAGCTCCAGAAGCACACGTGCCCTCCCAGTAGGTCACTCACATCTTGGAGAGCTTGGACGCCGCGCCGCCCGTCACTTTGGCAACGCGCAGCTGCGACAGCTCCACCTTCAGGTCGTCCAGCTGTTTCAACAGCTCCTCCTTCTTCTTGCCGCGAAGGTCCCGAGCCTTAATCTTGGCCTGCACGGGAGCAAGTACGAGTCAGGCGTCCCGCAGGCCGCCTCGCCTCCTCCCACACCCCAAGGTAGCCCTGGGGAGCACCAGCTCCCAGAGCCGCGGACGAAAGACGCTCCCGGCCCGCGACCCTAGTCCAGCGGGGAAGTGGACTGAGGGGGCGCTGGGCCGTCCTGCGCGGCGTCCTCCATACCTGGCCGGCAGATGAGATACCGGGGCTCAGTCCGCTCCTTCACCCCGGTCCCCGAGTCCCAGTGGCGCCTGGATGGCACCGGATTCCCTCGCACTCACCATAGCTGTACTAGAAGCCGCTGCCGCCGCCGCCTGCTCGAAAAGAAAGAGGAAGAGGCGGAGCTGACCTCCGCAACTACTGCCGGGTGGCGGCCAGCGCAGCCAATGGCGCTGTGGCAGAGGAGCCAGGCCCCGCCCCTTTCCCCGTCAGCCGGGTACCTCGTGGCTGGTCCTTCCTGCGGCGCTGGCCGATCTTGAGCTTCTGATGTTGGTGCCCGCGTCTTTCCCGGCGTTCTGGGACCGCTAGGTGGGCTTTAAGTCCTGAGCGACGCAGCTGGGGAGGCTGAGGCCATCTTGGGCGGGAGCTGGCCGGAGATAGCATAGGAAGTGCTGGAATTCTTCAGTCATGTATTTGTTCACTCATTCATTGGCCAAACTTGACGATCTGGCTGCCGCTGTGAGCTGGACGCCAGTGATCTGAGGGTGCGGAGGGGATGAGAAGAGAGGGTTTGCAAAGATGAACTATCGCCGGGGAGGTGGTGCACTCTTGTAGTCCCCACACTCTAGGAGGCTGAGGCAGGAGGATCGCAAGTCAGAGCCTGGCCTAGGCAATCTAGCAAGACGCTGTCTCTAAAAAGGGGTTAAGGTCTAGCACAGTGTGAAGGCCCTGGGTTCAATTTCCCAGTGTGTGTCTGTGTCTGGGGATGTTAACATTGGATTTGTTCCCACCTTTTGGCTTGAGCTACCATTTTGTGCCACCTGGACCACTGCTGTCACTCGAATCACTTCTCTCAGCTTTGGCTCTTTTTTGGGGGGAGTGGGGTTTGAGACAGGGTTTCACTATGTAGTCACTATGTAGCCCAGGTAGGCCTCAAATTCAGGGCGATCCTCCTGCCTCAGCCTCCTGAGTGCACACTAAGCCTAGCCTTGGCAAACTTTTTTGGTGGGGGGCAGGAGGCAGTACCGCTGATTGTACCTGGGGCGGTGGCCAGGAAATACACCTCCCATCTTAGTACTTTTTATTTTTTTACTTTGAGATAGGGTCTCCCCCTAAATCACTAAAAGCCCAAACTTCAAGCCCAAACTGGGCTTGAACTCACAATCCTCCTGACTCAGCCTCCTAAAGTGCCAGGATTACATGGGTGTGCCATCATGCCCAGCCCTGCTTTGATTCCTGCTCCCATGTGTGTGCTTAATACAGCAGCAAGAGAAGCCCTTTTCTTTTCATTTTCGTTGTACTGGGGCATGAAGCCAGCGCTCACACGTGCTAAGCAAGCTATCTAGCACTGACAGGCATCTCCAGCCTAGCTCTTTTTATTTTGTTGAGACAGGGTTTTGCGAAATTGCCCAGGCTGGCCTTGAACTTGTGATCCTCCTGACTCTGCCTTCTGAGTAGCTGGAACTGTGCCACCATACCCGGCTAGACAACCCCTTTCCACACAAGGCAGAAGTCAGATCATGTCACCACTGTGCTCAGAACTTCCAGCGTGTCCCATCTGAGTTCAGATCTTACCTTTTCCCTTTAGCAAAGACACCCCAGGCACAAGGTGATTTTTTTTTGCCCTCAACACTCAATCATCCCTGACATAGCATAAATGGATTTAAACCTTTTCTTTCTCTATTTATTTTTGGTGCTGGGGATCAAACTTGGGACCTTGCACTTGCTGAGGCAGGTGGCGGAACCACTGAGCTAAATCCCTGGCCCCATTTTATTTCTTTTGATGCTGGAGACTGAACTCTGCCCAGAGTTACATCCCCAGGTTTCTCCTCTCCGATTTATTCAGACAGGGTCTCACTAAGGACCAAGTTGCCCAAGCTGGGCTTGAATTCATGATCCTCCTGTCAGCCTCCCAAAGTGCTAGGATTACAGGCATGCCTACTATAATATGGATTTTTACATTGACTCCTTGACTGGAATGGAAGTCCATGACCATGTACTAGAATGTTATTCCCCAGTTTATTTGGGGCTATTTTCTTCTTGTTAAATGAGCGATTTTGGCTTCAAGTTTTCTTTTTTTTTTGTTTTGTTTTAATTTTTTGAGATAGGGTCTTGCTACGTAGTTCAGGCTGACCTTGACCTATGTAGTCCAGGCTGGCCTCAAACTCGCCATGATCCTCCTGCCCCAGCCTCCTGAGTGCTGGGATTACAGATGTGTGCTGCCAGGCCTGGTTTCAAATTCCTTCTGATCAGGATGTTCTAGGGATATGAATTTCTGCTGTTTTGTGGCCAGCCTCCTGAGTCACAAAAGATTTCCTCCCAGGTATGGAGGCAATTGTAGGTGGGGTTTTTCTGTCGTTGTTTTTTTGGTACCAGGGATCTAACTCAGGACCTTGAGCTTGCAAGGCAGGGAAATACTGCTGCTGAAAGCCCCTCACCCTTTTAAAAAATTGAGACAATGCCTTGCTAAATTGCCTGAGCTGGGTTTGAACTTGTGATCCTCCTGCCTTACCCTACCAGTGTTGAGACTACAGGCATGTTACCCTGCCCAGCTTGGGAGGCTGTATCTTTAGCATCAAGATTGGGTTGCATCACTCTGGTAGTATTTTCCTATCTTTAGACAATTCATTGAGAAGTATGCAAAACAATGAAATGGAGTCATGTTTCAACTATTGACCTTTACGAAAAAGACCATCAGACAAAAATATAATGAAAAGTTTTGTTATACCATTATATGAACAGACCTATTTTATTTTAGCCTAAGGCTAAGGTCAATTAGCAGTTACCTCAATCATGCTAAACTTTGCCCTTTTCTCCCCCCCCCCCGCCCCCGTCAGATTCTGGGAATTCTGCACCCTAAAATATGCCTGTCCAGTTAGACCTGACTTCTCAGCATCCAGGATCTTGCCCTTCCTGCCGGCATGGTGGCCGTACAGTCAAGTCCCGCTCCTGGCCACGACCCGAAAGCCAAAGTGACTGCTACATAAGCAGGGCCCTGCACCTTCAAAACGTCTTCATCGCTGGGCGTGGTGGTGCAGGCAAGTAATCTCAGCACTTTGAGAGGCTGAGGCAGGAGGATCACAAACTTGTCTTAATTTGAGACCCTATCTAAAAGGGTTTCTGTTTTTCTTTTTTCTTTTTTTTAGCTCAGAGCGAAGGTCAATCCGCAGTGCCAGAAAAGAACTAATTCTTTAGCGTCTTGTCACTCCTCCGGATACACCGGATGTCATTAGGGTCTCCCCACTCTGACAGCAGGGTCACTCCTATGCTGCTGCGCAGGCAGCCTCCCCAGTTCAGTGTGGGGCCAAGGCTCCAGGTCTCTCTGGTCATTGCCCGGGCTTAGCACAGGCCTTAGCGCGAGGGTTTTTTTCTTTTTTTTTCGGTACCGGGGCTCACACTCAGGACCTTGCATTTGTGAGGCAGGCGCGGCGCCACTGAGCTAAATCTCCGGCCCTTGGGAAGGTTTCTTCTTCAAGAAGCCTGCCTGGCACTCGAGGGGCGGGGCGGGGCGGGCCGCCTTCTCTTTGGGGGCCTGGTGTCCTCTCTGTCTGGGCAACCAGGACCGCGGAGTCGGCGGCTGTGTCGGGGCTGCCTCCTCGCTGGGCCACAGGCTCTCAGGGGCAGGGAGGAAGCCAGAGAACGAGCGAAGTTATGGCGTCCACGATACCAGGCCTGCGTGAGAGCGAGGCACCCCCTACCCAAAAGGGAAGGCAAAGAGCCAAGGAGATCCACGCCTGGCGAGGTTCCCGGGGAGACTCCCACAGCCGCGCTCCGGCGCTCCCACCGCGCCCAGTACGCCCCGCACAGGTCCCGCTCCGTGCTTCCGGTTCCGGCGCCTACCGGAAGTGGGTGGGCGGTGGCTACTGCGCGCGGAGGAGGTGGAGGAGGTGCTTGGCCGCTGCTTCCCGCCCCCGAATCGGAGCCGGAGCCGGAGGACAGCGCGAGCCGTTGGTGAGCGGAGTAGAGTGAGGTCGGACCCGGAGCGGAGCCGGCTGAGCGGGCGCCGAGCTCCCGTCATGGCCCGGAACACGCTGTCCTCGCGCTTCCGCCGGGTGGACATCGATGAGTTTGACGAGAACAAATTCGTGGACGAGCAGGAGGAGGCAGCGGCGGCGGCGGGAGAGCCAGGCCCGGACCCCAGCGAGGTGGACGGGCTCCTGCGGCAATATCCTTCCCCGTGCGGCGGCTCGGTTCGCCCTGGGCTCCCCATCCTTCTCATCCCTGGCCCGGCCACCGCAGCCCGGCCTCCTCGCTCCCTTTCCCCCGGGCTCCGGTCCGGCTCGGCTCCTCTCTGCCGAGTCCCCACTCCCCTCCTCCCGCCCGCACGCGGCCCTGGACCGGGTGGGCGGCTCCTCCGCACCCCCTCCCCTTGGCCTCCCCGTCCGCCCTGGCGGCCTCTGCCCAAGGCGCTCATCGCTCCGTCCCTCCTGCGGGAAATAGGACTATTGTCGGTGGCTGGTTGGCGGGAGGGCACAGTCCTCCCAAGCCCGTCCTGCTGCTCTCCTGGGCTCTATGGAAGACCTCAGAGAATAGGTGCGTGGATGACTGAGAGGAAGGAGCGCCAAGGAGGGACGCGAAGGCGGCACCCTCGCTGCAGCCCAGAGGTCTGGGCCGGTGCGCATTCGACCCCAGGACCTGCCTGATGCCGCCCCTCTCACCTGTTCTCATTTTGCTCTGAACACCTTGGGCTTTGGACCTTCGTGGTCTCAGCCCCCCTCAGCAAGTGAGTTGTGGCTGCCCCGGTACTGTACTGTTCTTGTGCAGGAAGCAGTGGAAAACTAGCAGTTAGAGCTGAGAAAAACCGTGAAGTGTGAAAAGTAGAGCCCCCAAACTGGAAATGATTGTTCTTGTGGCCATAGAAAGCAAGCATTTAGAAGAGATTAAAAATAGAGGTGATTGTCACAGTCAGCTTGGCCCCTTAGCACTTTGCGCACAGGAAACTGACTTATTCTCACAGGAAGAATTTTTCTTTATTCAAATGGTGTTACAGGAAGTGTGTTCCCCACCCGCTACACTTGCCAGGGCAGGGCTGGAGGCTCCTGCTGTATATAAATCAGGTTCTGGGTGTTCAGGCAGTTGACTCATTTGGGAAGTCAGGCCCACTGGTTTTGGGAGGAGTCCTGCAGTGCTGCTCTAATATGCCTTTATTTTTTTTATTTTTTATTTTTTTGGTACTGGGGATCGAACTCCGGTCCTTGGGCTTGCGCAGCAGGCGGCGAAACCACTGAGCTAAATCCCCGGCCCTCCAATATGCCTTTAAAACAAATACCTGCAGACTTTTTTGAACAGGAATGTGCTTTCAGAGGTGGAGATTTAAACTTGAATTTCCTGCCCCATCCAGATTGCTCACTTACCCTGCTGATAAAATGGGGTCATGAGAAGGGACACCTGGAGGGAAGGTTGGTTCTCTTTTTTTTCTGGTACTGGGGATTGAACTCAGGACCTTGTTGCCAGGCAGGCGCCGGCACCACTGAGCTAATCCCCAGCCGGGGAAGGTTGGTTCTTTAGTCTGGTGCAGGACCTGGCTCTTGGGCAGTAGATGCTGAAGAAGCTCCAGGGTCGGGCCTTTGGCCCAGAACCCTCATTCAACAGATGAGGAGACCGTGGCATGGCCAGCTGTTACCTTGGTCTTACTGCTGCAGGGACTCGTTGAAGGTCACGTGTCCATGAGTACCTAGCTAGTCATAGTCAGGTGTCTTAAGCTGCTTAGAACGCGCAGGGGATGGTAGCTTTGCCTCTATTGTCAGAAGCCTGTTACCATGGAGAGTACCTCTTGGGATTGGGGAAGGGGAGGGTAGCAGATGAGGAGAAGTGAAATCCTGGCAAATGTGGGTTCTAGGTAGGGAGGAAGGAATTAATATTTGCGTTCCTATCATGTGCCAACCCTTGGTCTTATATTAGGTGTTTGAATTTAAACTATAGAGCCTTTAAGAGTCTTTAGAAGAGGGCACTGTGAAGAGGGGCAAGCTGGTAGGGGTCTTAGGGCTGTACTGGGGAGTGTGTCATGGTGGGAGATCACACAGAGGAAGTAGAATATGGGCTCTGTCGACAATGCTCTGCCCTGTTCAGCTGTGTGACCTTGCGAAGGTCACATACCCTCTCTCTTGGCCTCCAAATCATCCTCTGTGAAATGAAGGACAGTTTCAGGAGAACATCTCTGGGCACACAGCAAGTGCCTGGGCAAGCAGCGTGGGTCTGGGTAGAGCAGCAGCGAGAGATTACAGCAGGAGCTTGGCCATGCAGGCCAGCTGGACACCTCAGCTTTGTGACCTTGGGCAGGTAATTTTCTTTCTCAGAGCATTGATTTCAGTCTTTAAAATGGGAATAATGATTGTTGTCACAGAGTTTTTGGAATGAGATGCATGTGAATGGGCTTGGCTGAAGATCCAAGACCTTGTGGCAGTTGTAAAGTATTACTGGTTCCTTTCTTCATCAGTGAAGCAGCTTCTGGTCCTTGGAGCAGGGGTCTGTCTAGAGCAGTGGTTTTGAGTGCTTCTGTACTCTCCTGCCCCCAGGAAATTTGGCAATGTTCAGGGACATTCTAATTTTGTCACAGCTTGAGGGTGCTACTAGAATCTTGTGGGTAGAAGCCAAGCACCCTACAAAGCACAGGGCAGATCTCACATCAGAGGGTCATCCTGTCTAAAGTGCCCTTGGTGCTGTGGCAGAAATCAGGGTCTCCCCCGTTTGCTGTAAGGGCCTAAGCAGCTGGGGATGGAGGCCAGCTTCCTAAATGGTCGGTGATTGGCAGGAACACCCTCCCTGCTCCCCAGACTCCCTTTGCAGGGATTGACAAGCTAGTGCTGCAGGGAGCTAATTGAAGTAGTACTTGGTCCTCGCACACTGCTCCGCTTGTCGTCCACCTTCTGAGTGATTGTGCTCGCCAATCGTGCCAGGCAGAAGTGAAGAGGGTGCTAGCCTACATTTCCTATCAAGCCCCTGGGAGCCTGCTTTTGCTCTGGGGACACTTGAGAAGGAAATTTTGAGGTAGAGGTTACCAGTGGCTGGTTTCAGGACTGGCCCTGGTTGGGATTGGTGGGGGGCTGCCTTTCCCAGTGAAGGTGGATCAGAGCCAAGGAGGGAGCTGTGCAGCAGGGGGGCTGGGAGTGGCTTGCCTGGTGGTGGACCCAGCTCTCTGCTGGATGGAGCCTCTACTAAGGAAGCTGGGAATTCAGCTTTGCCCCAGGGCCTGTCTGCTCACACGTGGGGATGGCTGCGTGAACAGGAGTAAAGACCTGATTGGGCAGAATTATTCCTTGTTCTATTTTTGAAGCTTTTTGGCTGAAGCCAATGTTTCACATGAGGAAATGAAAGTCGGCTGATGTAATTCAGTTTAAAATAGGTGTCACCTTTGGGGACCTAACCCAGATTGTAATTTTCTTTGCATGCTGGGTATTTAGAACTCGGCCAAGAATGTGATGTTAGGGTTGAAACTAAAGTTTAAGGGTGGGGAAGCAGAGGCATTGGCAAAAGGTTCTTGTAGCAGTTGGGATGTCATTGACCTGGGAGTTAGAAGTTTTAGCACATCTTGGTTTCTTTAGGAATGTAACTGCTAAGCAGCATTGAGTGAAGAGTTAGACCTCTTTGGGCCTTCATTCTTCCCTTTGAGAGCATGAGCGTGACTTCCGGTTTGTATGCACGATGGCCGAGGACCCAGTGGGGCAGGAACAGTGCCTAGCACTGAGCGGGTGCCACAGGCTCCATTGGGTTTTACTGTAGTTACCTGTAAGAGCAGTTGTTTGAGGGGGAGCCTCTAGGTGGAGGCAGAAGGAAGGGCCAGCGAAGGTTCCTTTCACCATCCCTGTGGCTTGGAAAAGCAGCAGGCTATAACCAGGCTGTGCCCACAGTGAGGAGGGCAGCAGTGGGTGGTCAGTGGCAGGGGTAAGATCCCTTTTGAGTCTGCTCTTGAGCTGCTTTTGAGGTCAGTCCGTTAATGAAAGTGTGGCTGCACCTGAGCCCAGCCATCCTTAACTGGCGCTGCTGTACAGGGGACATGCTTCGGGCCTTCCATGCAGCCTTGCGGAACTCTCCAGTCAACACCAAGAATCAAGCTGTGAAGGTAAAGGGGTCTTGCGGCTCTGCTGGGTTTTGTGGGGCCGGGGCTGTGGTGCACTCCATGGGTCTGGGCAGTGCTGCCACACAGCCTCCTGGCACTCCTGAGGTTCAGATTCCTGACTTCAAAGCTGTCAGTGATTTTTGTGTTTTTGCTTTTCTTTTTTCTGTATGCGTGCTAGACAAGTGCCCTGCTCCAGAGCTACACCCCTAGCAACAAGGCTGATGGCTGTATAGTAAAAGCTCCAAGCTCCCCAAAGAAACGGTTTCCTTCTCCCTAGGGCCTCTGCGGTGAGAAGTCAGCCCAGCCCTTGTTGATGAGCAAAACAGATAAATTAGCTGCCAAGTGAGGCTTATCAGCAGTTATGCTTTCACAGGCAACTGAATAGGCTTTATCTGCATGAGGGTTTTGAGTGCTTTTTGGATTTCCTGCCTTTCAAAGAGCATTATTCTCACTGCTTCACCAAGGCTAAAACTTGGTCTAGGGAGAGGGGCCTCTGCGGCTGGGGTTATAGAGCTGTGGTAGAGGAGTGCGGTGACAGTGGTTGCACCTTGGCAGAGGTGGAGAGGAAGGACCCCTCTGTTACTGGATACCTGCAGGGGGAGTACTATACCCAAGGAAACCTGTGGAGCCCTTTTGTTTTTTAAAGTGACCCTCCATGGTTGTGATCTTGTGGAGTTTAAGGCCATGCTGGTATCCCGAGTAGTGAAGCTAAGCCAGCCATGGTGGCACATACTTGGAAGGGTGAGGCAGGAGGATTGGGAGTTTGAGGCCAGCCTGGGTTATGTAGTGAGACGTTGTCTAAAAAAAAAAAAAGTGACAGTCCCTTCAAAATCAGTGGAATCACACTGAAATTTATCTGGGCATAGTGGCCCCCTCCTGTACACAGAAGGCTGAGGCAGGAGGATTGCTGAGAGTTCAAGGCCAGCAAGACCTTGTCTCAAAAACAAAAAATACATAAAAATACGAAGCAATAAAATAATTTTATTTAGCTTTTTTTTTTTTAAGCATCCTAGATAAATTAAGAGATCAGGCAGTGTTGCTGGTGATCTCTGCCCTGTTTGATGCTCCTGTGCCCACACTGGGGGCCTTGACTGTGCCCAGCTATAGCTCCTGACCTCACCTCTCTTACTTCTGTAGGAACGAGCCCAGAGTGTGGTGCTGAAAGTGCTCACAAATTTTAAGAGCAGCGAGATCGAGCAGGCTGTGCAGTCCCTGGACAGAAATGGCATCGACTTGTTAATGAAGTACATTTATAAAGGGTTTGAGAAGCCCACAGAAAACAGCAGTGCAGTGTTACTCCAGTGGCATGAAAAGGTACGTGAATTTGACACCTCCGCAGGGTCTGCTGCCTCACCCAGGGCTCACACCAGCAGGCCACATTTCCAGAAAAAGGTAGGACAGTCTGACAGCTTGTGAGACAGACGTGGATCACTTCACCTGCTGTCTGTGGTAATCACGGGTGCTTTTGCTTTTTAGCTGCAGATGTATGCCAGGCAGAACAGGGTGACCTGGGTAGGGCAGGGGGGAGCGGGGGAGCTGTGGCATGGTAAGGTCGGAGGAAGGCCTGCTGGTGAGGGCTTTGTGACACTTTCTCTGCCCTGGTGTAAACACCTGTGAGAAGGGTGTGGGGTACTCTTAGGAATGCAGGCTGAGCCCTCCCACCAGCTTGAAGGGCTTCTTTATCTGGCCTCAGCTTCTCCAGCCAGTGCAGTGGGCAGAAAACTTGGTCATTTAATATGGCTTTCATCCACCTGAAGCATAAAAAACTGGGCCGGGGATTTAGCTCAGTGGTTCCGCTGTCTGCCTCGAAAGCCCAAGGTCCTGAGTTCAAGCCCCAGTACCAAAAAAAAAAGCTGTGTGCATCCTCTGCTTGGGGGGTTCTGGTCATGCCCATGTCCTGCCTGTGTGCCACTGTGTCCCACTCCACCCCTCACTCCCTGAGCACCATAGCCAGCACACCCCCCATTAAAGGGGACCAGGCTATGACTAACACTGTCCTTCCCCATGGGCTCAGCATTGGTTTTTTTTTTTTTGGTACCGGGGATGGAACTGGGGACCTTGTGCTTTCGAGGCAGACGGTGGAACCACTGAGCTAAATCCCTGGCCCTCAGCATTGTTTTAAGAGTACTTCTCTTACTGGTGGGCAGCTGGGGTGCTGGGCTGTGGCTGTGCTTCCAGCCTCCCACCTCCCTGGGCTCAGCAGGTGCAGGCGGCAGCGGTGCTCCAAGGAGTGGTATGGTGTAGAGGCCAGGCCCTTTCATCTCTTTGAGGCGACTTGGTGTCTGCCCTGTTGGCAGGCAGCTCTCATGGGCTGGTGTACATTTCTTTGCCCAGGGCCATGCCAAAAGTTTGGAAGCCATGAGAAACTTGGGCTGTGCTCTGTGCTTAGTGACAGTGTTCCAAGCCATTTCTGCCTCAAGAGTGGCTGGCTCTTGGGGCCTTGGCTGCAGGACAGGGCTCCTTCCCCACTCCATGGTCTTGGCTGTAGGACTCCTTTATCAGAGGGGCCATGGCACAATAGGATCCAGGTCCAGGAGGAGTAGGCACTCTCATCTCCCTGGCGAGCCAGGCTCCCTCTGGCCAAGTCTTATCTGACTTGTTCCTTTTCCTGCCCCCACAGGCCTTAGCTGTAGGAGGACTAGGCTCCATTATAAGAGTTCTTACAGCAAGAAAGACTGTTTAAAAACAAAAAAACAAAAAGGACTCATGTTACCCTGAAGAATTTTCGATGCCCAGGCTGGACTGACAATGGACCATCTTCCTAGGAACTCCCAACTACGAATTTCAGGATATGTATCTGCTGAAATGTATTTTATTTTTGAGGTGGAGGGAGAATCGCTGCTTCCTAAATCCTTTGGAGGATCTGAGTCTGCCTCTGTCGTAGAACAGACCCTTGACTATCTGGAGAGTGGCTGGCCTATGTCGGTCAGGTGTTACCATGTGCACTGCCTGTTTGAAAGGGGAAGGGATGATTTGGGCAGGTGCAGATCCAAGGGCTGTGGTGAAAGGGAGAATTTGTTTTTCACAAGTGGGTAAACCTGAGAGTTTGTACAGACACCCTGTCTTCCCAGAGAAGGCAGACTCTCGGGTTCATTGTAAAGTGCCTGCTGCATCAATAAAGCTCTTGGCTTATTAGTATATCCCTTGGAGTGTGTTTCCTGTATGTAAAAAGTGGTAACAATGGGACGGTAAGGAAGTGTGACGTGGAAGGGTAGATGTGTCCCTGAGTTGCCATCCCTGGGGAGCGAGCATGGCAATCTCTAGGCCTTCCTGCCACAGCAGTTCCCTGAGCCTTGGCCACCCTGCTGCCACGGAGAGGTGTTTTGGTGAATACTATTTATTGTTTCTTACTCCTTTGATTTGTATGTAACCTTGGAGCTTATTTAATTTAATAAAGTGCCAAACATTTAATAATTGATCGAGGCTTTAAAAGTCTTCAGTTTGTGTGGTTATACTTAGTCTTCTGAGCATGGCCTGAGCTGTGTCCTGCTAAGTTTCTTTGAAGAACTAAACTCCAGAAACAGCAATGTTGAGGACCCCATTCGTCCTCCTGAAGCCCTCCCAGGTCACGCAGCCTTGAATGTATGCAGACTTCCACCAGAGTGACAAGCCTCTGCCTCCCCAGCTCCTTGCAGAACCACTGGGATGCTTGGGAGGTAGGACTAGGCTATTGGTTTCATTAAAATCACACATATTTATTTGCCCAAACTCAGTCTGGGGAGGAGCCTTCTGAAAGATACAGGTGTAGCCCTTGAAGTTTTAAGTACACGATACAATGTACTAGATTTAACAGTCAAGGAAACACTGACATACCAAACCGTATCAAGTGAAACCCACTGCAGCTGCATCTGGCTTAAAGAGTTTTAATCAAAAAATGTATTGCACCACAAATGAGTTTTCTACAGCAGGTTTTAGATTATACAATCCCTATTTACAACACTGGGAGATCAAGATCCAATGCTTATATAAAGGGGTATATATACTGTCTATCACAGAAAGTTTTATACAAGTAAAAGTGCATTAAATCACTTGGAGTATGTATTCCACTCTTCCCCTTAAAGCTGAAGGAAAGTCAACATGCAAGAAGAAAGCCTAGTCAGAGGGAGTCTTCCCTTAGCCAGTCAACTTCAAACTGCTGGGGAGTGGGGGTGGGGTGAGACAGTGCAAGGGATAGAGGAAGGGACAGCGGCCACAGGTGGCAAGCCATGGACTGACTACCCAGGCGCCCTGAGGCTTTGCTTCTGGAATAGCTGGAGGGGAGGAAATCCTACTTTGATAAGACACTACCTCTTACTCAGAGAACAGAAGGGACTCCTGTTTCCTGTCCCACCTAAATGGGAGGTAGCACTCTAAAGGGCACAGACTCTGCAAGAAGAGCCACATCTAGGTGACAGGAGAATGACTCTTCTGGATGGCAAAGCCTTAGCTGGGCTAAAGTGGCAATGTCCTGGCTTGATAACACCTGGAACTTCAGTGGGTAAATTCTGCAAGTACTTTTCTATGGGATTTTGTTTTTGTGTGTATATATATATTCTTGACCTTAAGCATAACTGAGAGACGTAAGAGTGTAAATAGTTAGAAAATGATAATAAATCTAGGAGCTCTAGTTAATTCAGTTTATTTGCCAATGAAACTTTCATCAAACCATAAAACAGTTGCCCTTTAGGTTTGCTGATGTGGCTTCTCCACAAGAAGTGTGGCAACGCATAAGTGTTTGTCAGCTGTTGCCAGAGGTGTGTGTGTGCTATCAAGTACTGCAGCGAGCTGTGGCTGTGTGGATGCCAGGTGTGAATGTAGTGTCACCTTAAGTAGAGGGGTAGGGTGGGAGGGAGGGATGGTTCTGCAAACAAGATAGGTGGCCTCTAATGTTTTGGTCAAGGTTGGGGCAAGAAGGGACAGCTGCTACTTTTGTTGAAATCCAGCAGATTGTCCTTTAGTAAAAAGGTGTGATTAACATTTGCTCAGTGGTAGAATGACAGAATTAAGAACGAAGCAGATGAAATACCACCACTGCTTCAGAGAGCATGTTCCCCAGAAGGCTGGCAAAATTACAAAGGGACAGGAACCCTAGTTTTATAAATAGTTTCCTCTTGATGCTCTGGTTTTCCTTTAAGAATACCAATTAAATGGATTTTATAATAAAGAAGTTATGTTTATAATAGCAAAGAAGTTTAGCTATAAAAAATAGTTTAAAATGGTTTACCAGCAACCTATCCAACACAAGTACATTCATTAAAAAGGCAATTGAGTGTATTTGGTACTATACTTGGGGTCTTTTATCTGTTTGCTAGTTCTAAGCAAAATGGAGATACCATCAGAAAGTTGCATATTCTTCATTAATCCATTCAGGCCCAGAATATCTTAAAAGATGGACCCATCTCAGGTTGTAGGTGGTTTGGGAAACTGAAATGATGTGTTCTTGAGAGGAAGGGTTAAAAGCCTCTTCTAACTAACTCTTCTGAGCCCAAACACTATGAGAGAGCTATGAAGTCATCCTTTTGAGGTGGCTTTCCATGGAGGAGCAGATGGGGCTAGCCTGCTGGGCGCCACTCCAAAGGGCAGTTTCTCCCTCCAGTATCCCCTGCACGATGAGTCAGCTGCCTCCTGACATGCTTACCGCTTGCTTCAGCTTTAAGTGCTAATGTTAAGAGGACTCGAGTACAGATGTAAGCTGGCCAGGACTGGGTGTTAGCAGCACTCTGGAAATCTGGGTAGTGCTGGGACCCTCATTTGGTGACCAGAATGACATCGGATCAGCTCCCTCCTGAGGTTCATGTCAGTTCTGCAGGGAGGTGGGCCTTAAGTCTTGTAAACAGTGTTTAGACACGAGTACAAAATACTGCAGTTACAGTGATTAAAAACCCACCCAGAGTGGTATGTCAGTGTTCTTTTCACAGAAAAAGGTGTCAAGCCACGGAGCTAATCCCTGGGTGGTTCCTCTAGGACCATGGTATCCGAGGGTTTGAGATAGATGGCCGGATGCTGCCCTTCGGAGCTGGTTTGGACCCAAACCAGGACATCTGTGTGTGAAACAAAAAGGCTCTTGAGAAGTAGGGTGGGTGGAGAGGTGGCAGGAACAGCCCCTCCCCTTCCCTGGGGCATCGGCTCTGCCCTCCAGGCATCCTGACTGGCTTTGAGCAGAGGATGAAGATGGTTCCAGTACCCAGTCTGCTGTGTGAGGAGCCCATTCTAAGTAAGGGAAGGAAGTGAAAGAAAGTGGGTAGATGAGAATGAGGTGGTAGAATTTTAGGAAATTTTCACTGTTACAGCATTTATTCAAGTGCTTTTGAAATTTTTTTGGTGGTGCTGGGAATCGAACCTGGAGCCTTGCACATGCTAGGCAAGTGCTCTGCTACTGAGCTATACTTGCAGCCCCTCCCCACCCCCCTTTTGAGACAGGTCTCGAAATACAGTTCAGGCCGGCCTTGAACTATGTAGCCCACGCTGGCCTCAGATGGTGGCGATCCTCCTGCCTCAGCCTGCTGAGTGCTGGGTTACAAGCATGTGCCACTATGGTAGCCTCCCAGTCCTTTTTAAGGCCTAGGTGCTAGGCCAAACCTGGAGTGGTTGATGAAGTACTATCAAAGAAAGTCTTTGAAAAATTCAGTCTGGAAGTCAGACAGACATTTGGGCACAAAGGATGTCCTCAGTACCACCAGATCAAGTCATCACCCCAAGCAACTAAGCAAGAAAACAGCTGTGGTTTTATCTGCCTGTGGTGGGAAGAGTGACTAAAACAGCGGATCAGAGAAGCCTACCTTATATTCCAGGGTTTCTTTAAGCATATTCTCTTCCTCTTGAGAAAAGTTCAGCAACACTGAAACAGCTTTGATAAGATGAAAAGCCTGAAACAAAATAAGCTTTGCTGCCATGGGCTTTGGTGGGAGTGGGGCAGGAAGTCTGGGGAGCTAAATGGCAGCATTTCCTGTTGCCTTGGTTAACAAGGACTAGGTGGAAGGTGAAGTTCATGCCTTCTGAGGTCTGACAGCAACAATGTGTTCTTACTCTGCCCCTCCCACCTTTCATTTGGGGTACTGGCAAGACCCAGCAACCTGAGCAGACCTGTTCCCAGGACTTGGCTCAGCACTGGAGCTGCAATTGAGAAGGGAAGCCCACATCTTCCCCAGGAGCCAGCTCCCTGCTACTGCTCAATCTGCAGGCCAAGGGTGGTGGGAGGAATGGCCAGGTATCCACATGGACTGGGAGAGAGGAAGGAGTGGGATGATCGGGAGGCCAAGCAGGGCTAACTCCACAGGGCTAGGCCCAAAACCCAAATGTTAGCTCAGGAGCTCTTTACCTCAGATTCTCGACAGGACATGAACTTTAAAACAACATGTTTAAGGTACTTGAAGTTGATTTCTCGGACATCTGTCAGGTCAGCGTTATTTGTGACAGAGGGAGCCATGTTTGGCATCTCGGGGCCTGGCTTCTCCCGGACTTCAAAAAGCTCACTGTCGGGTTTGATTTTCTGAAAAACCAACAGAAAGGTCTTTTATGGGCAGACAGTGGCCATTACACAGGCTGGGAAGGAGAATCTGACTCCAGAAACTCATGGATCCCTCAAGAGCAACTACAATCCAGGGGAGATACCCGGCTACTGCAGTCCCTTACCGTTCCTCCACCTCCCTGCACCTGGCAGGCCCAAAGGCCCCCAGGAAGAACAGCTCAGATAGTCCAGGTGGGGCTGACAGCTGAGACAAGGAGTGAAGTCACATTTCTTTATCCATGTCAAGGATGTGACCCCAGAACAGTGAGCACGCCAGCCTGGAACAGGGCGCTGTTCTTGTCCTGCTTGGGCCAATCACTTGCGACATACACACTGCCAACACCACCACACTGACTTCCCAAGCAAGCCCCCCTCGCAGGTAAGGACTCAGCACAGGGGTGGAGGGCCAAGGCCTTAATGCCACTTCTCAGGGGAGTGTTCATGCTGGCAGGGCTGCTGCGGGGCAGGGTGTGTGTGTGTGGGCTGGAGCTGGGAAGGCCCTGGAGGCAGGATGGGCTGGGAGCAGGCCAAGGACAGGCTGTGGGGGTCTGGGGGGCAAACAGCATGGGCACTCACCAGCTCCCTCTGCAGTGTCTTCCTGAGCTCCAGCATCCTCTGCTGCATCTGCTTTATGGTCTGAGACAAACCCACCCACCACAGCCAGCAGTTAAGAGGTGCAGGTCACCGTTTTCCAGGGGTGAAGAAAACAACAGATACCCCTAGGGGCCAGGGATTTAGCTCAGTGGTTCTGCCGCCTGCCTTGAAAGCGTAAGGTCCTGAGTTCAATCCCCGGTACCAAAAAAAAAAAAAAAAAGACACCCCTGGCATCCTGAGTACCTGGCACAAGTCTGCCTTTAGAGGTCCTCCCAAGAAGCTGTATAAGGTGTTAAACACTTGTGTGTGATCCTGGGTTCCTGCCCTCCATACCCTGGCCTGCCCAGGTCACACGGGGGAGGCCTTTCGCCATGTTCCCCTGCAAGACAGGAATCCCCAGTGCTGCCTGCCAGCTCCTGTGGGCTCGGTCCTAAGGGCCCAAGCACGGGACCGAACCGTGGCAATGTGCTCAGGCCTTCTGAACTCCACCAGTGTGCTATGATCCCCAAGTAGGACGCTTGGGCCAGAATATAGGGTTCACATCACTACCACCCTCCTGAAATAATCTGCAATGTTATTTTGAACAATGTAAAAGGTTATAATTTTTCTGTGTAACCCACCAAAGCTGGGCTTTAGATCTTTTTTGTTTTGTTTGAGACAGGGTCTTGCTATGTAGTCCAGGCTGGCCTCTAACTGGCAGCAATCCTCCTGCCTCACCCTCCTGAGTGCTGAGATTACAGGCATGCATCATCATGCCCAGATTTGTATTTTCTTGGTTGAATATGAGGCTGGAAATTCTTCTGGAAGTATACTGCTATTTTACCTCATGTTGCTTGCTTTCCCACTCATTAATTCATCTGATAATTACTGATTGAGTCCCTACTAAATGCCAGTACTGTCCTTGGAGGCTGGAGGAAACATTATAAAAAGACACAATTTCTGCTGAAAAGAGGGAAAAGAGAAACAGCAAGGTAAGAGGTTGGGGAGTTCTGGTGGGGAGATATGCCTGGGTGGCAGGGCAGCCCTCATGGATACAGTGAGAGAGCAGGGAAAGGCCCTGAGGTGAGCAAGTACTTCGGGCTAACAGGCTGAGAGGAGGTGACAGGATCCGAGGAGGAGAGGTGGAAAGGGCTGATCACATAGGGCTTTGCCGGCCACTGCAAGGCCTCTGACTTGCACTGAGACATGGGAAGTCATCAGGCTGGGAAAGAGGAGCGACAACAAAAGCAGACAGAAACCCAGCGCCAAATTCTAGAGAAGAGACTATGGTGACAGTGGCAAAGAGAAGCAGCTGATTCAGGGTACAGTTTGAAGGGTGGGAAAGGGGTCATGGGCTGGGGACGACTTCCAGAGTTTGGATATTTCCTGAGAGGGAAAAGATGACAGCAGAAGCTAGGAGTATGGGGAAACTGAAGTCTGGCCTGGGTGTCCTGGGATGCAGGGACAGCAGGAGGGGGAACATGAAGGGGTGGGCCTGAAAGTGGAAGCGAGAAGGCAGAAGTGAAGTGGAGAGGAAGGCAGCACAGGGTACAGTGTGTGCAGAGTGGCAGGACTGCTGGGAGACATTACCTGGGGACAGTGGTCTCCAGCCCATTGTGGTTCTGTGGCTACAGGTATGGGGCGGAGGCTTGGCCAGCACAGCCTGAGGACAGGGAGAGGGGCCAGAGAATTGAGGATGGTGACCAGGGAGTGGCTACTATGAGCTATGTAAGGAGGGTAGAAAAGCTCTTCGGCCAGCAAGGACAGAGGTTGCCCATCGCAAGGGCAAATCACTAACAGGCAAAATGAAACTAGAATTCCAGAATGTGAGCTGAGGTAGGACAATCAGAACAGCAGAGTCTCAGTCCCTGGGAGATGTGAGGGACCGAAGGAAGTCTGGCCTCTGGGATGCTGGCCACGTCCTGCTTCATGCCAGGCAGGCCCAGGTGTTTGCTTTGTTTTAGTCCACTGAGCCACACATTTACTCTATACTTTTCTGTGTATTTTATATTTCACAGTAAGAGATTAAATGAAAGGGGGATGAATACCTCTTCACTTTGTTATATATATAATACCTGTCCCACCCAAATTTGGGGGTAGGATTTCAGGCCAGAGCAATAGCACAATAAGCTCTAGAGGGCCCTCTACAAACCAGGATGAACAAGATGCTGAACTCACTGGGGCCCCCACCAAACCCCAGACTGTTTACAGGACAGTTAACATACACCTTCCTTTCACCCCTGCCCTCAAATGCCCTTGGAGGCCAAGGCCAGCGCTATCAACCCTAGCTGGGAACAGCAGAACAGTGAGAACACCTGGGCTCTTGACACTCTGGATAGTAGCTTGAGGGAACTTCAGGAAAGATAAGGCAACAGTGAGCGGAAGATGAAAAGCAAAAGGAAGCCCTTTTGAGAGCAAGGTCAGCTGGTTCTCAGCCTTTTGGCTAAGATCAAATGCGAGGGCAAGATCAAATCTCAAGGGCAGGGATGGACTAGAGACACACAGGACAAGGCATCCTCACCTTATTTTTCTCTGTAAGCTGCTGCTCCAAGTCCTGTTTCTCCTTCTGTAGCTGCCCTAGATCTATGGCCCCCACCTGACCATTTGGTGTTCCTTCTGCAAGGGGATCCTGGTACATAGGGTCCTGTGCAGCCTTCACAGTCACCTACAGGGTGGTAGCAGCAGGTTGAGGGCCAGGACAGGTAGTACTGAAGCTAAGCCACAGCTGTGGGGAGGAGAGCCTGGTTGTTCCACGGCTGTGGGCTGGTGTGCTTTGACAGTTGGCTGGCCAGGAACCAGAGGTCAATATGAGAGAAACCCATGCAGTGCCTTCCCAAGGGACAGCTGCCCTTCCGTGCTGCCTCCACTCTACCACAAAGAAAGGGTGCTGTGGTGAGGCCTGGTCCCGCTGTGACACAGGGCTTCACTTACGCATGGCTCTGGGTCCTCCAGCCTTAGCAGGTCCTCCTGTGCCTCTGCTGGGGAAGCCTCCTGGGCTCTGCAACTCCTCAGGGCCTCCAGCTCACTCTGGAGCTGGTGCATCTGCAGCAGGGCAGAGTCGTGACCTGGGGTGGGAGAGGGAACGTTTGGTGTGACCCCTGAGACTCAGGCTGCTGTGTGCTGGGTGGGCAGGGTCAACATTCACCTTTCTTCAACTGGAGGATCTCCTCCTCCTTCTGGAGAAGCACCTTGGCCTTTTCCTGCAGAATCTGCTCCTTCTCATCGATTGTGGCTCTTAGCTCAGCAGCCTTGGGGAGAAACTAGCATGAGATGGGGCTGGCAGCATCACTCCCTTCCCACAGGGACCTCTACTCATCTACTACCCTTGGTGCCCAGAAAATCTTCCTCAAGTCCATAGCGTGCAACAAACCCAGGGTAACCTCTGTCCTGTGGACATGTACCAATCTATTCCCCCTGCTCTGCTGGGAGGTAACCGTCTGCCTGTCCCCAGGGCCACAAACTTGGCTGCTCTGCCCAGCTTTCCAGTGCTGTCGTGACCATAGTTTCTCAAGTGGATCACCTTGTTTCAGTTTCTAGAAGGTCTTTTCAGTGGTGACTCTGAGACTTAGAGGTGTCAATCACCGACTCACAAGGCCTAGAGTGCCAGTGAACCATCAAGGCTGGGCCAGACACTGTCTCCAGAGGCAGGCTTTTGCCACACTTTCTGTTCAGAGCTCAACCCACCCTAAGGCAGCCTTTGGGGTGGGGATAGTGAGGGCCCACCTCACAGAATCAGAGCTGCAGGTTGCTGCTGAGGGCTTTTTCCAGGTAATGTTAATACCACCAATAACTGACCCTCAAAACCCGAAAGAGGCATCCTATGGACTGAGGTTTTTTTTAATGTGCTCCCAGCTCTTAAGAGACTACAGGGCATCATGCAGACCACTGCATTCCCTGACAGCTGTGTCCATGACAGAAGGGGGCTCTCTGATGGACACACTGCGGGGGCTGGGGGACATCACCACCTTGACCCACACCTCAGATCTTCCAGGGCCCACCTGTTGCTGGAACTCTTCCCTTTGTTTCTGCACCTCCTCCAGGGCCTGAGCCATGGCCACGCTCATAATTTCTCTTTGGCTCCACTCTTCCTACAATACAGACAACAAGTAGGAGATGGAGTTTCAAGACTCAGTTTACAGAAAGGCACTGCCTTGCTGGGCTAGACTAGCACTAGCATTCTTCCTGCTTCCCTGTCCCACTGATGTCTGGAAACAGGACACCACTGCAGGACACTCATCTGGGCACACCAGCCAGGCCCCAGCAGAGTAGGGCCCAAACTTGGGAGAGCTACCCCTCGTCTAAAGCAATCAACACAGAAGACTCTTAGGCCTGTGTGAATGGAGTGGTCACTGGAGCAATCAGGTTAAAGAAAATATAATAAGCAAATACTCAATTTTAGGGCTGGGGATTCAGCTCAGTGGCACCGCACTTGCCTAGCAAGCATAAGGTCCTGAGTTTGATCCCCAGTACTGAGAGAAAAATAAAGTAAAGTTCACTATTTTTTTTTTCCTGATACCAGATGTTGAACTCAGGACCTTGCACTTGCCAGGCAGGCGTGGCACGACTGAGCTACATCCCTTGCCCAATACTGAATTTTAATACAGAAAATACCACTGACTCATCAAAATGACCCCCTTGCCCTTCTGAGACAGGTCTCACTAAGTCACCCAGGCCAGGGTTGAACTTCTGAACCTCGTCCCTCAGCTTCCCAGAGTTCTGGGATTACAGGCATGTGTCACCACACCTAGCCAAAATGACCCCACCATTTTATAGGAGAGAAAAATGAGGCTCTGGGAGGTTAAGTGATTTGCCCAAGGGCCCAGAGATAGTAAGTGGCTGAGCCAGACTGAAAGCCAGGATCTGGTCAGACCCAGGGCCTTTGAATATTGGACTTTCCCAACCAGAGCATTTCCCACAAAATCAGGATCATGTGGCTGGTCCTGTCCAGAGCACAGGGACCACCCCTGGGACAAAAACACCTTCCAAGACCATGCTCCCCAATGAAGTCCCCAGGTGCAAAATGTGAGTTCTCGGGTGCCTGAACTCTGGAAAGGGGGATGCCCTGGAGAGAGCACAAGGTGATGTCTGCCATCTCGGTCTAGCCACAAGGCCCTGCTTTTGGGAATAAGTGACTTCACTGCTATCCCCCAGTCCCACTCTGAAATTCCACATGGCTCTAGTAGGGCCATCAATAACAGTACCCTAATTGTGAGTTAGTCCTGGCCAATCACAGTATCTCATCCCTCTGATCAAGTAAATTCATGCTAAGATGAATCTGTCATTCAAGATGAATCAACAGAATCTCTTCTATTGGGACCCTTCTTTATTGGGATGCTGAGGCTGAGTGGGAGATGCCTGGCTGTCCTGGGGTTGCTTGGCTGCAATGTCCTAAGCCTGGAGCTGCCTGTCACCTGGAGGATGAATTCTGCAGGAGGAAAAAGGCAGGAACAGCCACAGGGGAAGAGACAGGTCAGTGCAGGTGGCAGTTCCAGCCCAACTGGTCTTTCTGGCTTTGTGAGCTGTCCAACTCTTGCCAGGAAATCTCCCCAGGTATGCTGTGGCACGAGGGCCCCTACACAGGAGAGGGTGGAATTGCCCTCCTATGAGTCTACTTCTGGTAGACAAAGGAAACCTGGGCAGGACTCCAGAGGCTGGAGGTGGGGCTGCAGAATGCCCTAAAACAATGCCCTGCTTCCACTGTGGGTTTAGGGAGAGGCTGTGTGGATACGGAGGGAGGAGTAAGAGGTTTCACCTGGGTAGAGAGGACGAGAAGGTCCAGGAGGGGAGGGTGACAGGATGCTGTGCCTCCCCAGGAGCTTTCTCGGGGCAGTTCAGGAGACATTTGGGGAAGGAAAGAGGCATTTGTGTGTAAGACAGGAACATGGGTCAGGCAGGAAGTAGAGACCCACAGCACCTTCATGCTGGGGAGGGGCCCTAGTCAACTTTCATCTTTGGCCGTTTTTGATCCATCCTCAAGAGGTCATTACCATCTTCAATTCAGAAAAGGAAAAATGGGGCCGGGGATTTAGCTCAGTGGTTTTGCCACCTGCTGTGCAAGCACAAGGACCTGAGTTCGATCCTCGATACCAAAAAACAAAAAACAAAAAAACAAAAACCAGAAAAGGAAAAATGGTCAGGCATGGTGCATGCCTGTAATCCTAGCACTTATGAGGCTAGTTCAAGGCCAGCCTGAAGTACAAAGAAGACCCTATCTCAAGAGAGCACTGCTCCCAAGTTTGAAAAAAAAGGGAAAAACAGATTCCAAGAATCATGAGGGACTAGGCTGGCATACTGGCTATATAGGGCTCCAGAGTCCATGCTAGAGCCACATAAGACCTGACTGTAGGGATTAAGGTCGATACTTTCAGCCCACATCTGTTACAGCAGAAAGCACGGCCTGCACCTGGCAGGAGCCACCAGGCTACCCATCTGGGGCAGTTCTCTGAACCTGGGGATGAGGCTGGCAGGGGCTCAGGGAATAGCTGCATTGAAAAATTAAAATAAAAATGTTCTAGCTGGGTGTGGCTGCATGTGTCTGTAATCCCAGCTCTCTGGAAGGCTGAGGCAGGAGGTCTGTAAGTTTGAGGCCTGCCTGGGCTACTTAGTGAGACCCAGAGAGAGGGGGATGGGGTGGAGAGGGAGACAGCAAAGGGCTGGTGGGGAAAAGAATTCTAATTCTATGTGCACTAAATTCCAGTGCTTTGAAATACGTGAAGCAAAGATGGATAGAAATAAAGGGAGAAAGAGGCAGATCCACAATCATAGGTGAGGATTTAGCATACGCCTCTCAGGAACTGATGGAATAAGTAATAAATAAGTAAATGAGAAAGTGTGTAGATTCTAATAATGCTATCAACCAACTTGACTTAATGAGCATTTATAGAACATTCTACCTAAAAACAGCATAATATATGTTCAAGTGCAATGAAATATTTGCCAAGATGGACTACTGGTTGGGTCATAAAACAAGTCAGAATATCAAAGGACTGAAACCATCCAGAGAATTATATGACCAAAACAGTTTCAAACTCTAAATATCCAGACAACTTCTCAAACATCTGGAAGTTAGCCACATTAAAATGGCCCACATGTGCTGCTTTTTGAGTTATTGCCCCTCAGCCCACATCTGAATTTGAGATGCTGCAAACTGCCTTTCTGTCCAGCCAGCTGGCTCTGTGTTAATCCCTGCCAACAGGGGATGCTCCAGGGAGACTGGAAGTGAGAGGAAGGAGCAATCCCTGCTGTTCTGCCTGCTTCTGGATTGCGTGAGCTTTTTTTCTTTTTGGTACGGGGGATTAAACTGGGGACCTTGTGCTTGCGAGGTAGGCAGCAGAACCACTGAGCTAAATCCCTGGCCCCACTTTTGATATACAGATTTATCTACATGAGCCTTTATTTCTAAATGTTTTCTAATTTCCACTGTGATTTCTTTAACCTGTGGGTGATCTGGAAATGTATTTCTTAACTGCAAACATACATATAAGGTTTTTGTTTTGCATTACTGGGGATTGAACACAGGGCCTTTGTACTGAGCTACATTCCCAGCCATTATTTATTTATTTATATTTAACTTTTTGAGCCAATCTTGCTGTATAGTCTAGGCTGGCTTTGAACTCATGGTAATCCTCCTTCCTCAGCCTTCCAAAGGCTGGGATTACAAGCATGTGCCACCATGCCCAGCTTTTCTGAGATGGTCTCACTATGTGGTTCAGACTGGTCCTGAATTTACTATGTAGCCCAGGCTGGCATCCAATTCATGGCGATCCTCCTGCTTCAACCTCCAGTGTGCTGGGCATGCATTACCACATCCAGCTTTTTTTAAATTTTGAGACATGGTCTTATTAGGTTGTTAAATTGTCCAGACTGGGCTTGAACTTGCAATCCTTCTGCCTCAGCCTTCCAGACTACTAGAGTGAATGCATGCATCACCACATGGCTGGCTTTTCTATATTTTTTGTTATTTTTACTTCAATTCATGGTGGTCAGAGAACATACTCTATATGATTTTAATTCATTGAAATTTTGTGAGACTTGCTTTATGGTTAGTCTTTCCAGCTATTCTTTGTATGCATGAAAAAGTGTACATATTTTTTTTGCAACTATTGAGACTAGGGCTCTATATATGTCCATTAAGGTTTTGGGTTTTTTTTTGAGACAAATCTCACAAGGCTGGGCTTGAATTCACTATGTAGTCTGGGCTGGCCACAAACTCATGGCCTCCTGCCTCAGCCCTGAGTGCTGGGATTACAGGAGTGCTCCACCATGCTTGGTGGTATCTACTAAGAATATTTTTATCTTTCATTGAGAACAAGTCTCACAAAGTTGCTAAGCTGCCCAAGCTGGGTTCAAACTTGTAATGCTCCTGTCTCAGCCTCCCAGAGCCCTTGCATTGCAAGTGTATGCCACCATGCCCAGCTTGTCTTCTAATTTATATTCATTGTTTAACCTGTTTTCTATTTTTGATTGACTTTTTTTTGGTACCAGGGATCGAACTCGGGACCTTGTGCTTTAGGCAGGTGGCAGAACCACTGAGCTAAATCCCTGGCCTGGACTGACTTTTTAAAAGCCCCTTTTTCCCTTTGAAATTCTGGTAGTTATACATTCTGGTATTACTTTTACAGTGATGAGTCTAGAGATTACAACATGCATCTGTCTTATCAAAGTCCAGTCTTTTTTTTCTTTTTGGTGCTGGGAATTGAACCCAGAGCATACTGCATGATAAAGACACACTACCACTGTGCTACACCCTGAGCCACAGTCTAGGCTTATTTGGTATCTGACTCCCTGGCAATACAAAAGGCTAATAATACTGACAGCACGTATCTCACCTGATGTGGGTTATTTTCATTGTATATTTTATTTTACATTAAATATTTATTAAATCCTTATTTTTCATAAAGACCATTTAAATTTGTTCTTAGTTTCTTCTTACTTCCTTACATTTCTGTACTTCTATCTAGAATATTCCTTTTTTTTTTTGTGGTACTGGAGATCGAACTCAGGATCTTGGACTTGCTGGGCAGTTGTGGTGCCGCTGAGCTGCAGCCTGGCCCTAGATCTTCCTTTAACTAAAAGATATCCTTTAATATTTTCTTTAGTACATGTCTATTGAGGATTCTTTGTTTTATTAGCTTTCTTTAGTCTACCATACATGTATGCATATGGATTTTAAAATTTATCCTGTTTGGATTTCTTCAGCAATTGCCTTTTTGGGAATCCACAAACACACTCTAAAACATCTTCCTGTGTCCTGTGATTTCTCTTTCTTTTTTTTCAGTGCTTCATTTTAGACAGCATATTCTGCCTTTCTTCTATTTTACTAATTCTCTCTTTAGTTAGCACTGGCTGATAAAAGTGTGTGCATGCTACTGAGGATTAAACCTAGGGCCTTAAGCATGGTAGGCAACTGGTGCTCCTCTAAACCTTTTGTATTTTATCTGGAGACAGGGTCTCACTAAGTTAACCAGGCTGGGCTTGAACTTGTCATCCTCCTGCCTCAGCCTCCTGAATGCTGGGATTACAGGTGTCTGCCACCATGCCTGGCCTCCCACTGCTTTTTTTTTGGTACGAGGGATCGAACTTGGGTCCTTGCGTTTGTGCAGCAGGCGGCGAAACCACTGAGCTAAATCCCCAGCCCCCATTGCTTTTTTTTTTTTTTTCAAGTTAAAACACATTTTTATTACTTCATTTTTATGAAACTACTGTATTTTCAACTCAGCTATGCTTCTCCTGAGTATTTTCCCAAAAAAGTAAAAGAAATAGTACCACAGTAATATATGCATACATGTCTACAGGAGCACAGTGCACAATAGCCAAAGTATAGAAGCAGCCTGGATGTCTAACAAGACCAATGGATAATGAAAATGTGGTATATTTACACAACAGAGTATCATTCAGCCATTTAGAACAATAAATTCAGGGGCCGGGGATTTAGCTCAGTGGTTCCGGAGCCTGCCTCAAAAGCGAAAGGTCCCAAGTTCGATCCCTGGTACAAAAAAAAAAAAAAAGAAGAAGAAGAATAACCAGGCACTAGAACAATAAATTCAGCTGGGTGTGGTGGCACAAGCCTGTAACTATAGCACTGAGGAGGCTGAGGCAGAAAGATCACAGAAAGTTCGAGGGCAGCCTGGGCTACATAGTGAGTTCAAGGCCAGCCTGAACCACACAGTGAGGCTCTGCCTTGGAAAAAAAAAAAAGATAAATTCAAATCATCTGTACAAAAATGGATTTATCTTGAGACAGTGTTAAATAGTGAAACAAATCAGATGCAGATTAATTACCACAAGGTTCTCTTATATGAGAAACCCAAAATACAAATAATAAAATAAAGGAAAGATGGTAGGAAACAGGAAGATGAGACTTCTTGGAGATGGGGAAGATGATGAGGGAAAAGGAGGAGGGTAGAGTTAGAAGGGGAAGGAAAATAGTATCAAAAATATTCAAGATAAAATATTCAGTACATGTACCAATTTCCCAAAATGAATGTAATTATAATGTACTGCAAACATATACCGGGGCTGGGGATTTAGCTCAGTGGTTCTGCCTGCCGCCTGCCTTGCAAGTAGAAGGACCCGAGTTCAATCCCTGGGACCAAAAAACAAACAAACAAGCAAATAACAACAACAAAAAACATATACCAATTTAAAAAAAACCTATAGGTGGACTAGAGATTTAGCTCAGTGGTGCTGCTGCCTACCTCGAAAGCTCAAGGTCCCAAGTTTGATCCCCAGTAGCAAAAAAAAAAACCTTACAGGTACTAAGCACAATTCTTCAAAAAATATGGTCCCATTGACAAGCATATGGATTTCAAACAGCAATACAGTAATTAAAGTTGTAACATTAAAATATCACTTTTAAAATAGTCTATGTTTGCTGGTTAGCTATGCTCAAGAATACTGAAGTGTTTCTCCAAAGCTGGAATTACTGAAGATTTTATCCGCTACAATACATATATACAGTATAAAGATGATTTAATAGACATGCAAAATGTATCCTGAGGCATTACCTTAAAAGTACCAATTGCAACATATATTCAAAGCCTTCTATTTCACTACATATAGGTTTGAAAATTTCATTTTATTAAGCAATGATGGCATGAAATATTAAATCACAGTTCTATAACCTAATTCCAATAAAACTAGACAAGACATACTATCTTTTTAAATAGTAAAACAACACTTTTTTTTTTTTTTTTGGTACCGGGGATCGAACTTGGGTCCTTGTGCTTATGCAACAGGCAGTGAAACCACTGAGCTAAATCTCCAGCCCCAAACAACACTTTTAATTTATTAACATTTTTGAAATGGTCAAATTTTTAAAGCTTCAGCGTTAATGTTTAATTTGAAAAATCTGTGCTCAGAAGAAGCCATTGTATTCAGTGTGGGAGAAGCTGAACAGCTTATCTAAGAAACCACTTGTTCTTCAATTAGCTTTCATCTTGCTCTAAGCTTTTATTTTGTGTGCACAGCAGCTTTTCACCGTGGAGACCGCCATCTTCTACTTTTGAGGGGTTTTTTTTTGGTACCAGGGATGGAACTCAGGACCTTGCACTTGCAAGGCAGGCACAGTGCCACTGAGCTAAATCCCTGCCCCCCACTTTTATTTTTTATTTTGAGACAGGGTCTTACTGTCCCCAACCTGGTCTGGAACTTGTAATCCTCCTGCTTCAACCTCCAGGTAGTTGAGATAATAGGCATGTGGCACCATGCCCAGAAAAACCTATGTCTTTATTATTTTCTAAATTTCTGCTGAAATTTTCAATTTTGTCTACTTAAGCTATCACCCCAAGGTGTGATGAAAGGGCCCAGGGGCCTGGGGCCCTATAAGCACATGGCCACCAGTTGTGTCTAGGGAATGAAGGAGGCAGGGTATGGTTAAAGCACCAAGTGCTCAGAAAGGAAAGGGTAACGGTCCAGCGGATTGTTTCCTCATTTCTGTCTAAGGTCCTTGATACAAGTAAAGGTCATCATGGCCTATCAAGGGCTTGCCTGATCTGCCCCACTGAAAAAAGCCACAGAGGCGATCTGACAGCACAATGTTCAGGGAACTATGCTAATGACACAGGTCCGACTTGCACCAGCTCTCCCTATGCAGCCTGGACAAACTTCTGACACTTTTAGCCTCAGTGGTGCTAACTGCTCAATGGGAAGAATTCTCCTTACAGTCCTAGGTCCCAGAGAGGACATAATGGATGCCATTTTCTACCAGATTCCTAACCAAGTTAATAAAGAAATGCTAGTTCATTTCTTCTCCACTCAAGTATGGGACTTTCACTTGGCCACTACTCCAAACACAGGTGTAAGATACGAACACTTTTGTCAAACTCTGACTCAATCAGATAAATACCTTTAGCTTTTTCAGTTCTATCTGATGATGCTGTAAAGAACGTTCATATTCATTCCTGCTCTCCTGAAGGGCAGTGTGTTCACGCTCCAGCTCGCTCTGCAGATGAAGTGGACATGTAAGAAGATGGAGTCCTAATTGCCACATTTCTCCGAGGCGTAGCCTCTCTCTGGCAGGGCACCTCTGAAACACTTTCTTTTAGTTAACACAGAAGTGAGAGGGGACAACAGTGTAGGGGTACGAAAAGAAAAAAGAGCCAGGTGTGGTGGTACACGCCTGTATTCCCAGCACCTGGGAGGCTGAGGCAGGAAAATTGCTGTGAGTTTGAGGCCAGCCTGGGCTACAGTGTCAGTTCAAGGCCTGCCTGAACTTCATAGTGTTACCATGTCTGAAACAAACAAACAAACAAAACAAAAAGAACAAACAAATGAGAAAAAAAAACTTCCTGGGGGTAGAGGTGTAGCTCAGTGGTACAGCATTTGACTTTGGGTTAAATCCCCAGCACCACCAAAGGAAAAACAACAACAACAAAAAGCAAACCTCACAAGGAGTAGTAAAATGCTTCTCAGGACTGTGGTATAGGGAGAGGGGCTCTGGAACAGGGGAAATTATGAGCAATATGAGCTTTTACGGAGCAATATGAATTTCAGAAAGAATAAGAAGCTGAGGAGAATGGTCAGAAAGCACCAGGAAGTCCCTGAGGGGTCCAAGGAAAAGAAAATGCATTTGAGTTTCTACAAAAAATAGTCTTTTAGCTGGGCACAGTGCTGCATACCTACAATTCCAGCACTATGGGAGGCTGAGGTAGGAGGGCTCTAAGTCATTTAGTGACTTACCAAGACCTCATTTCAAAATAAAAATTAAAAAAAAATAGCTGGAGATGTAGCTAAGTGTGAAGGGCCTGGGTAAAAAAACAACAACAGTAGGCTTTTTACATCCAGTCTCAGGAGCAAATACTCAGGTGTGAACAGATCTATGGAGTGGTTCCCCCATCCCCAAAAGTGTTGCTTTTCTAGTCAAGCGCATGACCCAATGCTTGAACTCAACCTCCCTCCCTTCATTCACCATTGCGTGCTCAGCGGCTGTCTGGTCAGCCACGCGTGCCTGCTGCAGGGCGACGATCTGGGCCTCTAGTGCACACGTGTGCTCCGTGCACTGCTGCTTCAGGGCAAGGACCTGCTGCTGCGCAAGGCTACTCTCCTGGTTTGCAGCCACCTGCGGCAAAACCAGAGGGCAGTCAGTCAAGGAACAAGTGTCCTGAGGGAGGACTTACTCTGGCTTTCTGGGGCCCAGGGGAAACAGCTCTCAACCCTCCGGTGTTGCTGAGAACCCCTGCAGACTGCCTGTTGCTGCTGGGCCTGGCTTGCCCAGGAGGTGTAGCCAGGCTTTGGTCTTGCTGCCACTGCTGCACCCTTGGGGTGTGTAGGGACCCTAGGATGGGCCTCCTTTATGCTACTTAGTGGGCCTTGATCACTTGGGCTTTCCCCAGGCAGCAGTAGAACACAGTGGTGAAGAACAAAGCTTTGCATGAAAAGGAGGTGAGTCCTGCCATTTGCTGGCTGGGAACCCATGAGTTCATGACCAAACCTTCTGAACCTGCCTCCTCTACAGAATGAAGATGATAGTGCATGCCTCTCAGGTGTGCTGCAAGCACTAAATCGAAGAATGTACAAAGTAGTGAGCACTGTGTCTCAGCGTGACAACAGGAAATCAAATAGATTTCTCTAGCTTCTAACTCAGCCCCCTTGGGGCACTGATGACTGCCCAAGCCCTTGCCACCTTCTCACCCGTCTCAACCTGTTCTCTGAAAAGCTGAGGCTTGAGCCCTTGCAGAGGTACAGCCTCTAAATGTCTCAGAACAGGGCAGCCCTGAAGGCTACAAGTCAGGGGCAATCAGCCAGTCATTCCACATTCTGAGTAACTCGGGCTCTGGACCAGGTCCTCAATCTGCTCTGGCCCCCAAAACAGCAACTGTATCTGCGGTCAGGGGCAGACACTGCTGCAGACTTCTGTACAGGTGTGCAGCATGGTCAGCACTCACAAGCTGCTGGATCTGCACCTCCTGGGTGGCTGCAAGGTCACTGCTCTGTCTGAGTCTCTCCTCAGAGGCCTGCAGACTCTGCTCCAGCTCCTTCACCTGCAGAGAAACAGGTGTTCTTGTTGCTCATCCAGAGCTGAGCAAGGTTCAATTTGTGGCTTTAAAACTTGCACCAGGAGCAGGGTGTGGTTGAGCACAGCTGTAATCCCAGCACTCATCCCCCACCCCCCAAAAAACAAAACCTAAAAACAAAACAAAACTCATATGCTTGAGGCAAGAGGATCTCCCCAAGTTCGAGGCCAGCCTGGGCTATACAGTGAGTTCAAGGTCAGCCTGAACTGTATAGTGAGACCCTGTCTCAAAAACAAAACAAAACAAAACAAAATACTCACATCCTTGAAAGATTAAATACAGGGTTAACATATGACCCAGCAGATCTACAGCCAGGTATGTACCTAAGAGAAATGAAGATGAGTGATTTCACATAAAACTCTTGTACACTAGGGCCGGGGATTTAGCTCAGTGGTTTCGCCACCTGCTGTGCAAGCGCAAGGAACCCAGTTTGATCCCCAGTACCAAAAAAGAAAAAAAAAAAAAACCCTCTTGTACACTAGTATTCATGGTAGCACTATGTCCAAGACCCAAAAAGTAGAAACAACCCAAACGTCCAGCAATGGAAGAATGGATAAACAAATGTGGTATATTCATACAATGGAATATTACTCAGTCTTCAAAGGAAGGAAATTCTGACACATGCTACAACATGGATGAACTCTGAAGATATTATGCTAAGTGAAATAAGCCTGAGGGTGGAAATAGTCTCATGGTGGAGAAGTGGGCAACTATGGGTTAACTGTGTTACTATGCTTGCTAAGACATATTGTAACTATAGTCGTTGCTATGTCAAATAACTAGAGCAAGATGATCTTAGCCCCTGTCAAACCTCCTTGTTCCTCCTTAATTGCTCCTCTGCTTATGTAATTATGCTTAGATTGATGGCTATTTCTCCAGCAACTATAGTTGGTATTTCCCCCTTCCCATAGAAATATAAAGATATAAAAATGGAAGTAAACTTCTGTTTGAGGCTCTTGAGGTGATTTGAATCGCTTGGAGCTGCCAGGTAATAAAAAGCTGATTTGCTCCTACTTTGTGTCTAGTGGTTTGTCCAGGGACCCTGCACGGTCATGCTTCAAGCCCAGATACAAAAAGATAAACACTGTATGGTTCCACCTATGTAACATACCTGGAGTATTCAAATTCACAGTGACAGAAAGTAGAATGGTAGTTCACAGCGTCTTGGGGTGGGAAGAAATGGTAGTTTGATTTTTTTTTTTTGGTACCAGGGATTGAACTCAGGTCCTTGCGCTTGCGCAGCAGGCAGCGAAACCACTAAGCTAAATCCCCGGCCCAGTAGTTTGATTTTTAATGCACACAAAATTTCAGTTTGGAAAAATGAAATATTTCCAGAGATGAATAATGATGGTTGCACAACAATATGAATGTGGTTAATGCCACTGAATTGTATACCTATAAGTCACTAAAATGGTAAATTTTATATATATTTTACTATAAAAATCATTAATACAGTGGACCCTCGAGTTACGACTGGCTTGACATATGAATGACTTGGGTTACAACCGGAATTAGTTTTAACTTACAAACTCTTGAGTTATGACCCAAATGCCAGCCACTTGTGTTTCCAGATGGTCTCAGATACAGATTTAGCCCTTAAAAAGATCTGGAAAGAACATTACAACATCCTTTCCTGAGAAATCCTGCCCAAAGTCTAAGGACACTGAAATCTGCCTGAATACAGAAGAGAGACTTTGAAGGCTGTGTAGAGGATCCTGAGCCTTTAATTGACTAATGAGTGACAACCAGCCCTCGTGAACAAATTGAGTTCGTAAGTCAAAGGTCCACTGTGTTCAGAAATAGAACCAAATTATAATAAGATAGTCTTCAAAGTAAAATATATTTTAAAATATATATGAGAAAATAAAAAAGACAAAGAAATGAGCTAAGGATTCAACGTGAGAAGTTAGGAAAATAATGGAGCAAACCTAAAGAAATAGGAATGAAAAAATTAGTCAAGGGAGGAAATGAATAAAAATTTGAGCAGATGAAACCAAAATCTTCTTCTTTCCATAAGATAGTTCAGATGCTGCCAAACACTTTATGTAAAAGGCCAGTTAACAGTACGGTCACTGTCAAAATTACTCCTTTCTGCCATACAGCAAGGGAGCACCCACAGGCAGTATGGAAACAAAGAGGCACGTCTCCCAGCAACTCTTAGCTTGAGGGTCACAGTTTGCCCAATCCTGTGACAGACTGCTGGCAAAACTTATCAAGAAAAAAAAAGTCAGGCGTGGTGGCACACACCTGTAATCCCAGCACTTGGGAGGCTGAGCCAAGATGATCACTGCAAGTTTGAGGCCAGCCTGGGATATGTAGTGAGTTCAAGGCCAGCTTGAACTACATAGCGAGACCCTGTCTCCAAAAAACAAATATGTGAATTAACCACTTACCAGTCCAATTACTTAAAT